CACTCACCTCAGCCTCCCAAAGGTGTGGGATTACAGGCTGAGCCACCGAGCCCAGCTACAATAACTATTTTTAAAAGACAGGGTCTCGATCTGTTGCCCAGACTGGAATGCAATGGCATGATCTTAGCTCTCTGCGGCCTTGAACTCCTGGGCTCTGGAAGCCTGGCTAATTTTTTAAAAATTTTTGTAGAAATTGGGTTTCGCTATGTTGCCCAGACTGATCTCGAACTCTTGGCTTCAAGCAATTTTTATTGTCATCTCAACTACTCCTCATACTGGCTTGCAACTATAATTTTATTAAGGATAAATTATCTATAGATTATTTATAAGTATTCCACCTTCCCCTCAAAAACAAAACTCCCCAAAATATTTCAAGTATAAACATATATCTGTCCTTTTCCTTCAATAATAATATTGAAGTTATTTAGTTAATACATTTTAAATTTAAATGTTTCCAGTTAACATGTAAATTTTATGAAATACTAATTTTTATCAGTAATGAATGGATAATATAGAATGTTGTATTTATCCAGCCAGAAAAGCATCCTGGGATGTAGTCTAGACTAATACTCAGAACTTTGTCCTAATTATTCCTTACCCTGTAAAAAATGCACCCTTGGGTATTAAGCCAGCACTCAGTTGGCCCACATGTCTCAGTCTGAATAAAACCTAAAGGTAGACAAGTATTATATTTCCATGTCTGAATGGAAAACACAAACTCATTCACTATTTACTATTTTCCTCAGAGGAAAATAAATAAATCTCTGTATATTAAAAAAAGAAATATTGTCCTGATATACTTTAAAGGAGTCTTTATTTGAATTTTGGAAATAGTTGTGTTCCAAAGCCTCTCTCTTCTCAGTGGTGGGGCAGGCCTAATGCCTTCTCCTAGTAATACAGACTTGTATCTTATTTTATGGGAATAGTGTGTGTGCTGATAGAATAACTGAGCTCTAACAGGGCTCACCTCGGCTCCATCCTGGAAACAACATTCCCATGGTGGCCCTAGTCCTTGGGGGTCACCCCTGGGTTGAGGCCCTCCAGCATACCAGCCTGACCTAGAGCAGCAGCAGCACTCCAAAGCCCCCTATCCTATCCCATTTTGCTGAGCAAATTTTTTTTTTTAAATTCTCTTTTGTTGTAGAACATCATATACTAAAGTTGTTATATTCTTTATATTCTTTTCTTTTTCAATTTTTTGTTGCTCAGGCTGGTCTTGAACTCCTGGGCTCAAACAATCCTTCTGCCTCGGCCTCCCAAAGTATTGGAATGATAGGTGTGAGCCACCCATGTCTGGCCTAAAGCAGCCTTTATAAAAAACATGTCTGGTCTTTTAAAACCCATGAATGGATTTCTGTTACAGTGTTTCTCACATTTCATGGATCAAAAGGCAATTAGTTTTACTGGAACCCTCTGATGTGGGATAGGATGGGACATGTCCATGCATCCTGAGTGGACAGGGTTGGCCCTGGTGGGAAGCTCTTGTGTTAGGGGTGCTATGTAAGTGAGGACTAGGTCACAGTGCATACATTGTTATAGTTTGGGAAGTCTCAAGCCCTTTTTTAAGATGGCTGGTCCTTTCTGGGACATTCCCTGTCCCCTATTCCCTTTGCTTTACTCCCTGAAGAGCTGAGCAGGTTGCTGTCTCCACACCTGGCAGTAGTCCACACCTCTGCCCAAATGCCCCTTGTTGCATGTTCCCTGGTCTCTTGTGATATCCATCAGGAAACATTCCCTGACCTCTCCTCCCCACTCCCCCCTACGTGGTGCTGCTCTGTTGCTCTGGACCGTGAGCTTAGTGGCTCCCACTCCTACTTCCTTCCTGTCTCAGCAGCTCCTGGGAGGATGTGGTAACCTGACAGCTCTGGGTCTACAGTCGAGGTCCAGCCACCTGTGGCTAAGATGGACTGGCAATCTCCTTGCCCAAGTTGGAATTCTGGGGTAGGAGAAATGATGCGCCTAGCTGGAGTCAGGGAGCCACCTGGACTAATTGGAAAAAGCTGGGTTGGCTGGAGGCTGGGTGGCCATTCTCAGGGGTGGAGAGATCCTTATGAACTGGATACCCCAAAGGTCTGTATTCCCTGTTCAAAATGATCATGTATCTACCCTGCCTATGCTGTTCCTACCTTGGAATTTATTTAACTGGAATTTGTATATTATTTATTTAGCACTGTGAAGTGAAAATAGAAGGTGGACTCTCTGCTTTCCAGGAATTAGTTATAGACTGGAAGAAACATGGTGCACGTTGGTGAAAGGATGCCCTTATCTCTTCTCCCATTTTCAGTCTGTCCTTCAAGATCTACATCCCACAAAATCTTTCCTGGACAACAGCACACATGGCTGTCCCAGTTGCACCCACACAGATGCACAAACTTCAACACAAGCTGTTCAAACCCCACAGTTAGCCATGGGTTGTACAGAAAGTATCTTATTCTCAAATCATTTCTGGTGTGCCTGTATTATCTTCCTGGCTGGCTTGGGGTTTCAGTTAAGTGGGTTTGACTTACATGAGTTGGTTTAAGCCCTATGTATGTGCACATGTGTACGAACTGGGAGCATATGTGTAGGGATGGGACAGTCATTTGTAGGTATAGGCTGTGTGATTAGAGACAGAGACTCCCACAGAATCCTCAAAACATGTTCTGCCTGAGCCTGGCTGGGGTAGGGCTAGGAGGAGATGGGATCAGCCCTGCCTAGTCAGATGGGTGGGCCACATGTTGCCCTGCCACACCCCTCCCAGGGTAGGGTACAGTGGGCATCATGAAGAGCCTGAAAGTGGGGATAGATAAGTTAACTTCTCACCACCTGCTTCCCGGTGCCTACTACCTTGTGTGACAGCAGCTTCTGGATGGATGGAGGCTTGTCTCAATGACAGGTTGGTGGAGGTGTAGTCTGTGACCAGGTATCATTCAGTGTGAACATTTTCTCTGGTCTTGGTCTGAGTTTGGGTGACATGGGTATATGTTCTGTTCTCAGCACCAAAAAGGATCAAGCACCCCGGGAGGCGCAGAGGACGTGGCTGAGGACTGCTGGACTGGGGGCCAGCCTCATGCTTGCCACATTTCTGCTATGGAACAGCTTGAGAGTCGATGATGGTGTAGCAGAGGTACTGGCCCACCGCAGCGAGGTCCTGGTGGGCAGATTCATCGAGGTGCCCTGTTCTGAGGATTACAACAGTCACCGGAGGTTTGAAGGTACAGTGCTGTGGGCTCTCTGGTGATTAAAGAAAGAACAACATGTTAAAATGAGATTCAGTGTGTTTAAAGTACACCTGCCATTTGCTGCGCTGAATCAATGGGAATCAGGTTGAGTGTGGTGTGTCGGGGATAGCAGGTGATTGCTCCCCTCCCTCTAGTTAGCCAGCCTTCACATGGCAGGGGGCTCAGGTGTTTCAAGGCCTGCTGTTACCACCTGACATTGTCAGTGTTCTAGCAAGCTGTCCTGTCCAGTGGGGAGATGGTTAGCCTGCCTGGAGGTAGTAGAATTGGAAAGGTGGGGATGGAAAGATTGAAACCACAAGAAGTTTTGACTGTGGAGAATGTCGTAGAACAATGATCTCCAACCTTTTTGGCATCAGGGAGCAGTTCCGTGGAAGACATTTTGTCCACAGACAGTGTGGTGGGGACAGTTTTGGGATGATTCAAGCACATTACATTTATTGTGCAGGTCAGCAGCAGCGTTAGATTTTCATGAGGAATGTGCAACCTAGATCCCTCGCATGCGCAGTTCACAATAGGGTTTGTGCTCCTATGAGAATCTAATGCTGCTGGCTGCTGATCTGACAGAAGGCAAAGCTGAAACGATAATGCGAAGATGGGGAGCGGCTGTAAATACAGATGAAGCTTTGCTTGCTCCCCTGTCTCTTATCTCCCACTGTGTGGCCCGGTTCCTAACAGGCCGTGGACTTGTTAGTGTCCCCAGTCAGTGACCATCCAGTCAGTGGCCCGGGGTTGGGATATCTCTGTGACATAGAGTGTTGGAGAATGCCGGAGAGCATGTAGCAGGGAGCTGCTAAAGGCCCCTCTGCCATCCTGTGTCCCAGCTCCTGCAGCTCCCATTCTGGTTGGGCCAGCTGCAGCCCGGCCTGGGCAGAAGGAAGGAGAGGTCGGCGCCGGGGTAGAGACTGGTGTTGTTGGCCCCAGAGTAGCCAGAAGCCTGGAGGTGCCCCTAGGCCTGGTGGGTGTCCGTTCAGCACCCTGGAGAGCGCACGTCACTCCCCCATCCAGCAGGCTGCCTGGTTTGGCTCACAGGCCTCTGTCTGCTGTGTTTTCCCGAACATTTTGTGCTACCTGCATGCATTCTCAGTTTTAAGAACCTAGCGTGCATGACTTGGTTTTTGAGACAGAATTCCATTTTTTAGAAATTCAACTCAATCAATGCTTTGTAATTGAACCAAGAAAAGATTGCCAAGGTCCTCCACCAAGGGGCGCCATTGTGATATGAAACACCAATAAGCAGTGTTCTGTTCCCTCAGCGTCAGTAAGATGCTGTTCTGTTCTGTTGTAAAGGTGCTCTTTCTTAGTAGGCCTTTTCCCTCCAATGTTCCAGCTTTCAGAAAATTTTTTCCTAAGGAGAAATGTTTCTTCCTATTCATTTAATAACTTATCAATGTTAAAAATAATTGCAATGGTGAAGGAGGAATGGGGAGTCAAGGTTTAATGGGGATGGGATTTCACTTGGGGAAGATGGGAAAGGATATGGATATGGTGATGGCACCACTGCGTGAATTAATGTCACTGAACTGTACACTTAAAAATGGATAAAACAGTAAATTTTATATTACGTATATTTTACAATAAAACAAATTGTTGGAATATATTAAAGCCTCTGGGCTTTCCCCTTCCTCCCCTCTCAGTCCCCGGGTATGAGGTGTGAGGATAAGCTCTGTCTGGTGCCAATTCTGGCCAGCAGCCTCCTGGCTTGGGTTGGTAGCTGGTTGTCAAATGCCCCTCCCCCCACCACCACACATGAAGGAGACAGAACTTTACCAGGCAGTGCCTGTGACTATGTGTTTGTGGAGCATGTACTCATGTGTGTTGACACTGTCAGCCCTTATAACTCACTTTTTTGCCCCAAATTATGCTCTTTATACTTATTCATACTGAAGCACATGTTGCAGCCAGATGGGGTCCTATTGTCCACCCAGCCATATTTATGCTATGCGTGCCCCTGGGGAATCGTTTCCCCTACTTATGGGTCCTGTTTTCTTGCTTCTTTGTGTCTCTGGTCATTTCCACTGGATGCCATTGTTCATGAATTTCACCTTGTTGGGTGTTGAATATTTTCATATTCCTGTAAATATTCTGAGCTTTGTTCCAGGCCCCGTGTGTGTTGCTTGGGAGCAGTTAGATGCTTTCAGGTCTTGCTTTTAAGCTCTATCATGGAGGCCAGAGCAGTGTCTATTCTAGGGATAGTTTTCCCCTCTGCTGAGGTGGGATCTTTTTGAGCACCTGCTTGATTGTCCATCTGGCTGGTGAGAACAGGTCGATTTCCACTCTGTGTTAGTGCCCGACTCTTCCCTCTGATCCTTTTGTTGTGGTTCTTTTTTTGACCCTGGGTCTTGTCACACACGTGCTCTGTGTGACATGCTCTACTGCAGACTGAGGGAGGCCCCATGCTAACGTCCACAGTTCTCTCCTTCACTGCTACACCTGTGCCTTCCTTGTGCTGGAACAGCCATAGGGCTCAACTCACTCGTTTCCCATCTCTCAGGGGACTCTGTCCTTCCTTGTCTGATGTCCATGGTCTTAGGAACCATGGTTTTGTATATTTTGTCTGATTTTTTAGTTATTTCAGACAGAAGACTAAATTCAATTCCTATTAATTCCATCTTTACTATAACCAAATTTTCAAGTTCCTAGCATCTTGATATATGGTATTTTATAAGTATATTCTGATTTCTTTTATTATTACTCCCCCTCCCCCGAGTTATTTGGAAGCATTTATTTATTTATTTATTTATTTATTTGAGTTGGAGTCTCACTCTGTCACCCAGACTGGAGTGCAGTGCCCGCTCCCGGCCACTGCAACCTCCACCTGCTGGGCTCCGGTGATCCTTTCGCCTCAGCCTTCCAGGTAGCTGGAACTACAGGCGTGTGCTACCACGCCCAGCTAATTTTTTATTTTATTGTAGAGATGAGATCTCACCAAGTTGACCAGGCGGGTCTCGAACCCTCAGGCTCAGGGAATCCACTCACCTCAGCCTCCCAAAGTGCTGGGATTACAGGCTGAGCCACCGAGCCTGGCTTGGAAGCATATTTTTAAAATTTCACAACTCATGGGGTTTTTGGTTCTCCCTTTTTAAACATTGATTCCTGACCCACTTACATTGCAGTTAGGTAATATACTCTGTGTAACACAGATTCTTTGCAATTGCTCAGGCTTTTTTTGTGGGCTAACATGTGATCCGTTTTTGCTCATGTTCCCCATGTGTCTGGGAAGAATGTGTATGTCTTAGCGGTTGGTGCAGAGTTCTATGTGTTTCTCCTAATTCAAACTTATGTGTACAAGCTATCTTCTCACCCACTTCTGTCTCCTTCATCCATCAGTTACTGAAAGGGGCATTAGAATCTCCCCTATGATAGTGAATTCAGTAGCTCTCTGTGTGAGCTGCCTTATGTGTTTTTAGATGATGTTATTTGGTGCTGTTTACTCATCTTTACTTTCCTGGTGATCTGTTCTTGTTCTTTTTCCTTCTGGAATTCTCTTGTCAAAGTGAGTTTGTTGATCAGAGATCACTTAACAAGCCTGCTTTGGTTATTGTTTCTGTGTCACTATTTTTGTGGACTAACGCTTTAAAAAAGCATATAGTTGGCTTTTGTTTGTTTGTTTGTTTTTGTTTTTGAGTTGGAGCCTCGCTCTGTCATCCAGGCTGGAGTGCAGTGGCATGCTTATGACCACTGCAACCTCGACCTGCTGGGCTCAGGCGATCCTTCCACCTCAGCTTCCAAGTAGCTGGATTACAGACTTGAGCCACTGTGCCCAGCCCTTTTTTAAAAAAAATAAAAAATAAACCACCTATATCAGTTATTTAGCCACATGTCACAAAGCCCTCCTCATCCCACAATTTAACCAAGTAGAACTTTATGTGGCTTGTGTGACAAGGCCCAGAGAAAAACTCCACAGGCCAGACCGGTGCTTTGTGACCCCTGGGTCCAAACCCCTGATGCTCATGCTCAGGTGGAGCATGTGGCTTTTATTCATGGGGTCCCAGGATGGAGGCTCCACCTTGAGGCTCGGGGTTTACTTCTTAAGCAGAAAAGAAGTGAAGAGGAAAAAAAAAAAGCAAATGGCAAAGTCTAGTCAGCCCAGCATGTCTTTAGAGTTCAGAGGCTCCCAACTCATCAGTAGTATGTGGTGCATGGCCACCCAGTGCAAGGAGCTGACTGCACTGTGGTGCCAAAATGCACGGATGAGTCACTGACTGAGCAGCTGTCTCATGCTCTGCTGCACGCAGGCCTGATCACCCTGCCCCTGTCCTGTCCACCCAGACCCTGCCCCAACCACCCTGCCCCTGCCTCAACCACCTATCCCTTGCCCTGTCTACCCTGCCCCCGCCCCAACCACCCTGCCCCTGCTGGGTCCACTCTGCTCCCTCCTCAACCACCCTATCCACCCTGACCCTGCCATGTCTACCCTGATCACCATCTGAGTATCTCCACCCTTCCCCCTCCCTGATCACCCTGTCCCTGCCCCTTCTACCCTGCCCCTGCCCAGTCCACCCTGCCCCTGCCCCAACTACCCTTCCCCTCCATGTCTGCTCTTGCCTCCAGCCTGACCACCCTGCCCCTGCCCCAACCTCCCGACCTGCCTCATTCACCCTGACCACCATCTGGGCTTCTCCATCCTTTTCCCTCTCGGAATCTGCAGGTCACTGAGGTTTGGGGAGAGACAAGGGAGTGAGGGGAACAGTTTGCCATGGCCCCGGGGAAGGACTGTGACTAGAATTACAAGTTTATTTTTGGTTGTTCCGGGAGGATTTCCTGACAGGTGCTGTGAATGTTTGGATCTGCAATCAGTGATCAAGATTGTTGCCCATGCCATGTCTGCGAGGCTTCTGTGGCTTCCCCAGCGGCTGGGAGCAATGACACGTGCTTCTGGATTAATCTGTCCAGCTGGGGCCCAAGATGCCCCAGGATGCCCATTGAGACACGAACTCCAGGGACACTGCCTGGAGCACATGTCCACTGAAAAGTTATGATTGCTTATCTGAAATTCACATTTAACTGGGTGTATTAGCCAATTCTGACCTCCCTGATCCTGTGGTCTTGCCAGCCTCATTCCACCAAATCCCATAGTCCTTGGGGAAGCCACTGAAAAGTGGCTTTGGAATTGAGAATTTTACCCCGATTCTTGTTCCTCCAGGTTGCACCCCCAGGAAGTGTGGGAGAGGTGTCAGCGACGTTGTCATCACCAGGGAGGAGGCGGAGCGGATTCGTGGGTAACCATCTATCTCTGAGCATCTTGTCTCAGGCCATCCGTGGGTCAGATTTAGACAAACAACTGTGCTTAAGCAGATAATTACCACTCAAAAATGATTTAAAGGATTTCCTTACAATTCCATAAAAATTTCCTTATGTGCTTTCAAGGGCAAAGGTTAGATTTTCTGATTTCCAGGAAGAGAGGCCATGACCCTCAGGGATGCAGTCACTGATGGAGCATGCAGAAGCTGGCCTCCTCTCCAGAGGAAGATGCCACTATAGAGGGAGCCCCAAACACACCTGCTGCAGGGATACCTGTTCACCGAGCCTCCGGTGAACGGTCACTAGATAATGTTTCAGTGTCTGCCCTGAGACTGGTTAGGAGTTCAGCCCTTTAGTCGACCCAGAGTAACTTATGACAGCATAAGATGCGTACTCTGAAGCAGTTAGTGCTGGATTTTTTCTTACTGAGATTTAAAAAACAAGATCTTTAAAGAAAGGTTTGATTTTCCAGCCAGTTATTTAGACTCAGTGTGTGGACTGGCATAGGCCCTTGGGCCATCCTTTCAGGTCCACATGCCCTGCCCCTGACATTCCTAGTGGGGAGGCTCATCCTCCTCTACGTGGTCCTCTGATAACATGCTCCTTCTCTAAGTGGGGATTACTGGTGTCCTACTAAGGGGTGCTCTACCTCTATCATTGTCCCTAGGCAGTTCTCAGGCATACTTGGTAACGTGGGTGCTCCTCTCTAGTCCTGGGAGATACCACACCAAGGGGCAGGGCCTGTTGACCTCCTGAACTGATGAATATCAAAGCCACCCACCTACCCAAGCCAGAAGAGACTGGGAACAGTTCAGCCTGTCAATATTCTCGAGTCTTTTTTGTGTTTGTTTTTTTGTTTTGTTTTTTGAGTTGGAGTCTCACTCTGTCACCCAGACTAGAGTGCAGTGGCCGCTCCTGGCCACCACAGCCTCGACCTGCTGGCCTCCGGTGATCCTTCTGCCTCAGCCTTCCAAGTAGCTGGAACTATAGGTGCGCGCTGCCACGCCCAGCTAATTTTTGATTTTATTGTAGAGATGAGGTCTCACCAAGTTGCCTAGGTGGGTCTTGAACCCGCGGGCTCAGGCAATCCACTCACCAGCCTCCCAAAGTGCTGGGATTGCAGGCTGAGCCACCGAGCCCGGCTTATTCTCGAGTCTTTTCTGGCCACATGCTATATGCAGCACCGGGTCACTTTCAGTGTTACAGATGAGAAAGTAAGCCCAATTTTTTCTAAGGTGAGTCATATTATTAATAAGATGATGATGGTAATATTGTCACTCAACTTTGAAAGCTGAGTCCTTTGGTCTAAACATTTGTTTACATTGTAAACATTAAACAAGCAGGACTTAATAACCTTACATGTATTATGTTGATTGACATTTTGCCTAGATACACAATAGATAATTCTAGTAACTAAATTCTGATTTAAAATTATTTTCTCCCCACAGCATAGCTGAGAAGGGGCTTTCCCTGGGAGGATCTGATGGAGGGGTGAGTTGAATGTGGTTCCTGCCCCCATTTTCATTTCACCCTCTAACTGTGCTCTCCCTCAAAGAGGAGGAGAAGGCACCAAGGCACAGGGTCCGCTGGGTGCCCCCCAACTGCAGGCATGGGCCAGTCTTGGTGTTTCTTAGCCATGAGATGTTCTCCTGTTGAAAAGAATGTGTCGTCAGACAGGCGTGCTATCTCTTCATGGTGTGTCACAGCCTGCTTGGCCTCAGGTCACATCAAGGGGAGGGGGCCAAAGGTAGAAAGCTGACAGTGCAGAGGTCTAGGGGCCGAATGTGGGAAGTGGAAGTGTGCCGTGGGTGTGGAAGAGCCAGCGGAGCTGCTAGGAAGCAGCAAAGTCTCCGTGGTACTGAGATGCTTCAGTGGAACCATGTGACCTCCGAGCTAGAGGCCTCCATAAATGCCCTGAGGGCACTATTGTCCCCTGTGTGATGCTACAGGGGGTTGATGGTGGCCTTCAAAGGTTCTGTTTACCTGGAGCCTGTGAACATGACCTGATTTGGAAAAAGGGTCTTTGCAGATGTAATGAAGTTAAAAGATCTTGAGACAAGATCATCCTAGGTTTAGGATGGGCCCTAAATCCAATGACAAGTGTCTTTATAAGACAGAGGCAGGGGAAGATTTGGGAGGGAGGAGGAAAAGCCCACATGATGACGGAGACAGAGACTGGAGAGATGCAGCCACAAGCCCAGGAACACCTGTAGCCACCAGGAGCTAGAAGAGGCAGGAAGGACCCTCCCCTAGAACCTCAGGAGGTAGCCTAGCCCTGCCCCCTGCCAACACCTTGATTTAGGACTTTGGCCTCCTGCACTGTGAGAAGATAAACTTCTGTTATTTTACAGAGGTTTTCTTTTTTTGAAAGTGAGAAAGCAGGATTTATTGAGGACAGGAAAAGCTCCCACAGCGGGAGGAGACCTGAAGGGGTTGCCCCAAGTACTGTTATTTTAAACCCCAGTTTATGTTACCTCAGTCCCTGGGAATGACATGAGCCAGTCGCCCCTCTGTGGTCTCTTTCTTTTGATGGGCAGCCTCTTGGAGTCAGTCACCAAGTGTGAGTCTTTTTTTTTTTGAGTTGGAATCTCACTCTGTTGCCAGGCTGTAGTACAGTGGCATGCTGCTCACAGCCACTGCAGCCTCGACCTGCTGGGTTCAGGCAAACCTTATACCTCAGCTTTCCAAGTAGCTGAAACCACAGGTGTGTGCCACCACACCCAGCTAATTTTTTAAATTTTGTTTTAGAGACCAGGTCTCGCCATGTTACCCAGGCTAGTCTTGAACCTGCAGGCTCAGGCCGTCCTCTTGTCTCCATCACCCAAAGTGCTGGAATTATAGGCATGAGCCACTGTATCTGGGCTAGTGTGACTTCTTATGTGGTTTTCTCAAGGTTGATTTTCTTTTCTTTTTTTTTTTTTTCTGAGGGTACATTCAGTTTAATTTTCCATTGAGGTTTGAGAAATTCAGCCACATCCTTTTAGTTTCATTTTCCCAAGAAAACTTTTTTGAGGAAACTTGATTGATACACAACCAATGTTAAATGGATTATGTAAAAACCAGATTGATTTAGAAAGAAATTTTAATGTGAGTAGGGAGAAAAACCCAAGTGTGGGCCTGTGAGTGTCGTGGGACAAGAATCAGGTCTCAGTAGCTAACTTTAATTCCTTCAAAGCTGTAGGCCTGTTTGCTCACCACCTGATTTCACAGCCTAGCTCAGTGCCTACCCAGAGAAGGAGCCAAAGTATTTGTTAAACTAATTAATACAGAACGAGCACGTATGTTTATTTTAAAACACTGGCCCATTTTTAAAGGCGTTCATGGTAAACTGGAAGTTCAGAAGGAAACTCGCCATATGTTATATCAGACTACCTATATTTTATTTCTGAAAATGTTTCAGAAGTAATAGCATATACCTCTCTATTTTGGGAAATGCCAGTGCTCCCATTAATTTTAGCAAAAGACTTTCATAGGGAAAAGTAGCAGTAAGTGGCCCAATTGTCACTAAATGACTGCCTTTAAATAAGCTCCCAAGCATTCAAAAGAATCTCTCCAGTAAAATTAAACTCAGGCCCCAAAGCAAGTGTCAAGGATGATTTTCTTGCTTGGTGTAAGGTATTGTATGAAGATCTGTTCTCTCTGCATAATGCCACTGTTACCTGCTGCTGCAGCCACATGTTTTACTCCACAAATGTCTTTTCTAGGCATCCATTCTGGACCTGCACTCAGGCGCCTTGTCTGTTGGGAAGCACTTTGTGAACCTGTACAGGTGAGAGCAGGGTGGCCCCAGTGCTGGCTTAGAAACTGAGCCCGCTGCTTAGCACTTCTTAGTCATGGCTGCCTGAGGGAGTAGTTTCAGGTCTGCAGCGAGTGCTAAGTCACTGGGCCCCTGTGAGGGGCTCTTGTGGGGATGCTGAGAACCTGGAGGCAGGATCTCTCTTCAGGCTGGTCCAGGGTGGGCCTTGTTTGTGAAGCTTTAGGGGAGAGTCTGGGGCTGGAGGAAGAGTGGCAGAGGTGGGAAGCAGGCCAGGCCGACAAGAGTAGAAAGAATCTGATGGAACCTCTGCAAGGGGACTTTCTTGCCTTGATCAGTGTTCTCCTCTTTCCTCCTCCCGCTTTCTTTCCTTTTTTAAAACATGGTTATTACTGTAGGTTTCTCTCTCAGAGTTTCTCTGAGAGAATGAGGACAAGTTGATTTTCAGGGACTTGCAGGTAAGCTTGAAAAAGAACTGAATTTAAAGGAAATAAGGAAAAGATTAATAAAACATTATGTTTGTTAGTGCTCTTTATTTTTTCACAGATATTTTGGGGATAAAATACAAAATATCTTCTCAGAGGAGGACTTCCAGCTATACCGGTAAGGAGGGGAAAGAATGAGGTGACACCCATCGTGAGTAAATGTGGAGGAGGGTAGCCTGGGCAGAGCAGGTGAGGGATGGAGCCTTCAAGATCTGAGGGGAGGCCCCACAGAGGCTAAGAGCGAGGCCAGACCTGCAGCAGTGAGTTCTTATGACCAGACTCATGAAGGCCAGATGATAAAACGAGATGTCATTAAGACACACCTCTGGTAATGGATGCTTCAGGATGGGATCCTTCGGTGTCTGGAGCCTAATGTCTACATCCTGGGCATCTTCTTGATTTTTATCACATAAAATCAGCCCAGAAACAATAGGCTGCAGTTGTGTCTCACATCGTGGTGGGGAAAAACTGAGTCAATTTTTTAAAACCTTTTTTATAGGATAAAATATTTTTGAACACTTTAGTTGTTTTCTTTAAAAACAATGGTTTTTAAAATTCTGCTATGCACCTGATGAGAAGAAAACAGTTCTGCTAGGCAGGCCCATGTTGAGATGTAGACAAATGCTCCCAGAACAAACAAGGGCTCTTGTGCTCCAGGTAGGGCCCTGTCCCCTTCCAGACCACAACAACAGTTGCTCCTGCAGGATGTGTCTGAATCTTCTGGATGGGGGTCCCTTGTCCCCAGCACAGGCACCCTATCCACACTCACACCAGTCCACACTCACTGCCCTCCATACTCACCATGCTTTGCACTCATACCCTCTACCCCCACCACCCTCCACGCTCACACTCTTCACTCTCAGCACCCTTCACACTCACACCCTTCATCCTCACCACCCTCCTGCTTACATTCTCCACACTCACATGTTGTGGGATAGCAGTCTCTTTCTTACTAACCTGGAGACTGGGCTCTCAACTCTGCATGTGTAGCTGAGTGGCTCGAGGTGTCTGGGCCATGATTCACTACATCAGCATCCTCAGTGAGGGTTTTCATGAGCCCCTCCCCTCCTTCTGCATGTCCGTCTTCACTGGACCTCAGCCCCTGATTATACGTGGTGTAGTGTAGTCAGGCCTCTTGCTCCAGGCCTCTTGCACTGCTCAGAACACATGGACTGTGGGCACTATGATCCTTCCTGGAGGAGCTGGTCTTTGGGTTCCTGGCTGTGCATATGATACCCTGTCCCACATGTCTAGGGTGCCATGTGCATGCCTGTCCATCTTCCTCCCTTCCTCTGGCTATGTCTTATGTGGCACTTGGGGACCTACAGAGAGTTCTGTCCTTCCCTGTGGGGCTGAGCTTCTCCCAAATGATGTACTGTGCCTCTGCAGGGATGTCCGGCGGAAGGTCCAGCTCACGATTGCTGAGGCTTTTGGCATCAGCTCATCCTCACTGTACCTGACAAAGCCTACATTCTTCTCCCGCATCAACAGCACAGAAGCCCAGACAGCTCATGACGAGTACTGGCACGCACATGTGGACAAGGTGAGCCTGGAACTACAGGGTGCAGGGGTTGCCTGAGTGGGCAGGTATACCTAGCAGCATCATGATGTTTCTCATTCTTCGTGGTCCGCAGCTCCCAGCTGTGACTTTGTGGGTTTTCAAGCATCTGTCTACAGTGGTTATGTTTTTAGCATTTGGATGTCTTCCCTTCTGAGGTTTTAGGGTATGTCCTTTATCTAGGTGATGCAGTTTGGGAAATAAAATTTGTCTTTCATGTGGTGGTGACAAGAAATTGTGGTGGAGTGTTCCTCCTTCCATAGTGAAAGCCTTGTAGTTTTCCCTTATTGCTTGTTTGCAAATTTATGGACAATCTCTTCAACAGGACTGGTGAGTAGATGGTTATGTAACCTCGACTTGGCCTCTCATCACTCTGCCTGGCAGCTGGGAGCCTTCCTTTACCATGTTTCTGTCTTTATCTTTTCTTCACCTCCTGCCCTGAGGCAGGTTCTGCCCCTGGGGAAGATTTCTTAACTGCTTCAGGCCACACTCACACCTAATTAATGATCTTGATTGTTCTCAGCTGAAACCCTCTCCCACCTAAACTGTCTGTTAGCAGGAGGGGAAGATGCCCCTACTCTAGTGCCCTTGTTGCATGCAGCAGTGTGGGGGTCTTCCGGACACAGGGTGATGGGGAGCTACTGGGAATCTTGTCCCAAGGGAAGTGTCTGAGGGCTGCTAGCTGTTACCTGAACCTCACCTGGGCTTTAGCCTTCCTTTTCTTAAGGCTAGAATAAGAGGAAATAAAGTGAAAAATTATGGATTAATTTTGGACTAAAGCTTGCAGATTTGGGCTTCTGCTCTGAAATCTGGTCAGATATTTACAAGTTGTTTACTTAATCTTGATTTTATGAACTCCACCGAGGAGTGAGCCAGACCACAGAGTATCTCTTGATCTCTGCAAGGCTGTGTAACATGTAGGAGCTGTGGTCACCAGCAGCCCTTGTGGACATTGGAAGGCCCAGCTGGGTTTGGCCACTCTGACTGATTGCATAGCATGACTGGGAGGGTGGATGTTGGAATCACAGGTCCTATGTCACTGGTGTTGGTGGTTGGTAAGGATAAAGTTTCTAAATGAGACATTTCTGGGTACTGTTCATGGTCTTTGAGGGCCATGCAGAAGGTCTCTGTCTCCCCCAGAGCTTCCTCCAAACAAAGCTATAAATATGCCTCTAAGCATAGCTTTAACTGCATCCAAGTTTTAATATTAGTACTTTTATTATGAATAAATTTAAGGTATTTTTTATTTTCTATTGTGATTTTCTCTTTGGCCTATGGATTATTTCTAAAGAGGTTATTAATTTCAAAATGTAGGGATTCTGTTATCTATATCTATTTGCCTCTGGCTGGTGGGTAGGTGTGTTAGCAATCCCATCACCTCAGTTCAGTCAGTGTTTGAGTCAGTCTCTGACTCACTTTTCCTCCTAGAGTTTACACTGTGAGTTCTCAGTACAAAGCCTGAGGTGTTTCACCGTCCTCCCTGCCCCTCTCCAGAGTTCTGGAGGCCACCTATTATTCCGTAGCCCTGTGATCTGTTGAGCCTTGCAGAATGGTTAGATGCCTTGGGGAAAGTGCCCCAAATGCCACAGCAGTATTCAAGGAGCACAGTCCATGTCACCTCATTTAACCTATAGATTGGCTACACTTTGACTTGTATTGCGAGTAAGAGAGTTGGAAGCATTTTAGCTGGCTGCGCTCAGAGCCAGTGCTTGAGAGAAAATAATTTAGAGGAAGCCTTGTCTGATGGCATCTGTCCCTTAGATGTCATGGCTCCCAGTTCCCATGGCATGCAGTGAATACCGTGTTCCTTGCGTTGGGTATGCATGGGGTTTCCACACATGGAACTGAAGTAGTTGGCTTTGCACATTGGAAGGATTCAGTTAGTGTTCTGGCTGTTGATTTCTTTACCCTGACAATCTTGGTCGCAGAGTTGCCATTTCCCTGCACTCACTAGTCCTGGCTTCACACACAGAAAGTTGAGTCCTTACACGTTCAGAAGGTCCCGGAACCCTGGATTCAGCAGGGACCCAAAGTCTGACCCTTTGTATGACTTCGACTGTGTTGGACAGCTGCTGATTCCTGTGGCGATGAGGGAGAAACAGAGAAGCAGGTGCATCGTCCTTGCTCTCTGTTCCTAACCGCACACCGAGAATGCGGCCGCTCTTCCCCTTGGCAACTCTCTGTCCTCTGCTATGAAGGGCTACAGTGTTCCAATGCCATGGTTGATTTTATGTCAAATGTGTGGGCTAAGGGCTACCAGATAATGGGTAAAGCATTACTTCTGGGTGTGTCTGCAAGGATGTTTCTGGAAGAGATTAGCACTTGAACCAGTAGACTGAGTAAAGATCTTCCCTCCCCACTGTAGATGGGCATCATCCAATCTATCGAGAATCCAAATAGGACAAAAAGTCAGAGGGATGGCAAATTCTTCTTGAGCTGGGATATCCATCTCCCTGTGCCCTCAGATATCAGAGCTCCTGGTCCTTGGGCCTTCAGCCTTGGAGTGGCACTTGCAACAGCCACCTCCCAGGTTCTCAGACCTTTGGGCTCAGAATGAATCATACCATTGGTGACCCAGTTCTCCAGTTTACAGATGGCAGATATGTGGGACTTCATGATCTCCATAATTGTGTGAACTAATTTTGTAATGTCCCCTCTTATATATCATCTATATGTGTATCCGATTAGCTTGTTTCTCTGGAGAATCCTGATAATACATGTAGTAATAATAATTCTGGGGAAAGTTCATAAAGGTGCTTTATAAACATGAATGCCATGTGAGATATTGTCAATGTATCCTTACAAACACCCTCTTTAGTATTTCAGCTTTCTTGAACCTACTAGATTTGTCTTTATAAGTGTTTTGTTATTTTCTTTCTTTTTTTAAATTAAAAACAACTTTTTTAGTAGAGATATAGTCTTGCTATGTTGCCCAGCTGGCCTCAAACTCCTGGGCTCAAGCAATTCTCCCACTTCAGCCTCCCAAAGTTTTGGGATTATAGATGTAAACCACCATGCCCACCCTATTTTCTTTCTTAATGAAAGATTTTAGAAGATGAAGGTACAGCACGGCTAATATTAATAAGAATGAGGTATTATATCCAATAGTCCTTTCTCTAGGGTTGATTTTCGTGATGTAGACATCATATTTTCCCTTCATATGGTAGCCTGACCTGGAGGTGGTTTAGTGGTACCATCAGCAGCCCAGGAGCTGAAGTCCAAATGCCAGGTTAAAAGTCAAGAAAATATGTCACTGGGAAGGTTAGGATTGTTGTGCCCACCGTGTCCAACTGTGGTAGAGGAAGAAAGGACTGTTAAACAACTGCTTTTCCTTGCCATGAGAAATATATCACTTCTTTAAAAAAAATTTTTTTTTTTAAATAAGGTCTTACCATCTTGCCCAGGCTGGTTTCAAACCCCTGGGTTCAGGCAGTCCTCTTTCCTTGGCCTTCCAAAGTACTGAAATTACAGGCATGAGCCATTGTGCCCAGCCTAAATTGTTCTTTAAGTGCAACCTTGTTTCATCTGCTCCCTCTTACCCTAGCTCCCACCCCTGCTCCAGGAGATTCCTGGGCATCTTATTATATCCATAAAGTTCAAAGGTCTGCCTCTAAAAGAAAAGGCACCCTCCCCCAAATGATACAACCACATTCTATGAGCATTTCCCAACATCTACAATAGATGTACAATGCCATCTTATTATCACCAAGTACTTTGTCAAGTGTTTGGATTTCCCTGGTTATTCATAGTGTGTCTTTTTTGGGTTGGTTTGTTCAAATCAGGATCCAAACAAAGATCTCAGGTGGTGTTAGGTTAATGGACCCTCAAGGCTCTGCAGGATCCTTTTTAATCCACAGGACCCTTTGCCCTTCTCTCCTCATTGAAGACCATTTGTTGAAGACACTGGCTATTTTCCCAGTAGGGTTTCTAAATTCTGCTGATTCAACCTGCTTCTCCATCTAGAATGTGCCATCCAGTAGAACATTCCATTCTGCAGGGATGAGAATGTCCTCACCTGTGCTGTTTGATGCTATAGCACTGGAATGTGGTTCATGAAACCGAGGAACCCAATATTCAATTAATTTAAAGTGAAGTAGCCATGTGTGGCAGGTGGCTCTGGGGCCCAATCAGATTCTGGCTAGGCATGTGGGGCTCCCAGGGAGCATGCTAGGAGACATGAAATGTCACTTGCTTCTCTTCCTGTGAGGTCAAGGCTGATCTGTGACTTCAGAAGCCAGCCTGACCCACACCAAGCTCCTGTTCGCCTTTCACTAACAGTGAACACAACCATTGATAACCACTGCCCGTGCCTGTCATTGCCTTAGGGACCAGGGTTGAGCCTTTTGGTGTAAGATAGTCACAACATGCAAAGGTATGTTTTCAAGGGACAATTGCAGAGGAAAACCCAAGGTGTTGTGACCTTTAGGGCAAAGGTGCTGTGTGTGGAGGACAGGCAGGTGTATCTGGCAAAGAGCAGTCGTGTCCTTGGGGAAGGAAACCCCTCTCCTGAAGTACATTCAGTAGAATCTCTCTGACATAAAGGCCAAGCAACCTTCTCCCTGTGCCGGGAAGCACAGTTCAGGAAAAATATGCCCAAGATGCAGCCTGGTTAAGTTATTGAACTTCAAGGATACAGAAGAAATTCTTCAAGCAAAAAAACAAATTGGCAGTGAGGGGACAGACCAGCAGCCTTGACATCTCCAGAGCAAGCTTAGAACCGGGAGACCACAGGATGGCATCTCCAGCACCTGTTAATAAATGGTATGCCCAGCCTGTGGCCATTTGTGTGGAGGTGGCAATAAGACATCCTCAGACATGGAAAACTGTAGAGTGAGGGTCTGCTCTCTACCCACAAGCTGACTCAATACCTACTCAGGACAGAGAAGCCCTGGGGGAAACCTGCTGGCATGTACTACCTCTGTGACCTTGGCCATGTGCTGTAACCTGCCTCCAGCCCTATCCTTCCTCAGGTAGCTTGCTGGTTT